GATCTCAAATTTCCTTTTTGCTTCTCTCTTCTCATTTCTAGCGTAACTTTTCAGTCGGGGATGCATGGGAAATTCTAATCTAACTTTAAATTATGTTGAGGTGTTTACTTGAATAAGGGTCTATTGAGAGAAAAACCCGACAAAGGGACTATCGGGACCATCAACGATTCAAGGTGTAATGTTAGATAAATGTCATCTCAGGTGAAGCATAGATGTTCGATGAAATGCTTGTGAAAAACAATAGGGTTAGAAATGCAGAGTTGACAAATACTACTAAGATGAATTAAGTATCATTGTTGAAAGTCACCAACAAAGATGTAATTATTTTGTATAAATGGCATATAATAATTTCTTCGTTTAATCCTTGTGGTTAAAGATTTTCCAACAGATGATCAAATATAATGAAATTCCAAACAACGCATTCACCTCTCAGTCTCTTTCGCAACTCGAAAGGCATCATGACAGGGTCAAGTAGCTGCTCCAAATATACTATCCTGTCATGATGCCTTTCGATTTGCGTGCATGTAGAATTGTCTTCTAAAGCTATAATTTAATACAATTTAACTGTAAATTTTCCAAAACATGTAAAAAATCCAATTCGTTCACGATATATCAGTCTCATTATCAACATGAACTTATTAAAAAGAATACAAGCTCACAGGATGTCAAAATCCATAGGTCGGATCAATACAATTCCTAGTAAATGAGTACTAGCAGTCTCTCGAATTGAGTCTGGCGATTTCACTATGTCGATACTCACAACCAATTCCCTGATTTAAAGAAAAACCAAACAAGAAGATAAAAAAAAATTAGCATAGGACCCTCTTTCACTTCTATTATGATGGACTGAATATCTTTCATAAGGAGTACTAAAAGTTTTGATTAAGAAGAAAGAAATAAAATTAGATTGTTTTGGTTCAAAACTAACATTGAATATCCAGATCATTGACATGCAGTTCTAGAAACATAAAAATTTCAACAAAACACACACAATGCGAGCTGAAAATGGAAAAGTGCGAAAGAGGAAAAACTTACTTCCGGATAGCACAAAAGAGAAAATAAATACCTTCTTGCAAGTGAGGGGGAGAAACTAAGAAATAAACGCAATCAATGTTGCATTCCAGCAATTCTTCCTTCCTTTTTCCTTTGTAAATAAAAAGATGAAAGATAGAGCACAACTTGGTTTTACAATTTTATATGGCGGAAAATTAAAGAACAAAAACCAAACGAGAGTGCATGTGAGCGAAAGAGACTGAGAGGTGAATGTGTTGTTTGGGATTTCATTATATTTGATCATTTGTTGGAAAATCTTTAACCACGAGGATCAAACGAAGAAATTATTATATATCATTTATACAAAATAATTCTAGCTTTGTTGGTGACTTTCAACAATGATACTTGGTTCATATTAGTAGTATTTGTCAACTCTGCATTTCTAACCCCATTTTTTATCACAAGCATTTCATCGAACATCTATGCTTCACCTGAGATTACATGTATCTAACATTACACCTTGAATCGTTGATGGTCCCGATAGTCCCTTGGTCGGGTCTTTTCTCAATGGAACCTTATTCAAGTCAACACCTCCACATAATTCAAAGTTAGATTAGAATTTCCCATGCATCCCCGACTGAAAATTACGATAGAAATGAGAAGAGAGAAGAGAGAAGCGAAAAGGGAAATTCGAGATCGAAAAAGAATTTGGGGTTTAGAATGAAATTGAGGACTGTGTTGTAAGTTTTAAAAGTTGGGGGACCTAAATGCAAGTGCTTGAAAAGTTAAGTGACCATATTGCAAACGTAGTAACGGTAGTGTAACAGCGGGGGACCATATTACAAATGAACTAAATGTGGGAGGACTGTATTTCAAGTTTTAAAAGTTGGGGACCTAAATGAAAGCTTTAAAAAAGTTTAATGACCATTACTATACTTTACCCTAATAATAATTAAAACCTGGATAAAATGGGTGTCTACATCTACTTTGCATTCTAGCTTGTTGTTCGACATTGTGGGAATGCTGATCTTTGGTGTGCTATACAGTGGAATAATAAAGAAGAGATCACTAGATTGACGAAGGCAATTAGTTCAAAAGATATTATTATAGAAGAAAATGGGCTTACGTCTTATTTTTGGGTAAAATACATAAATAGTACCATGATTATATAATATATTTTGTTAGATCTCATGACTATAAAAAATTACAAAATGATCACTTATTTAGAAAGATATGTTTTTCCTTTTCTATTGCGTTAATCAAATTGGCAAAAATAAAAAATTATTCCTTAAATAATATATATATATATATATATATATATAAATCTAATCCTATTTTTAAAAGGTTAGAATTGAAAATATGATTAGATGGAATTTGGGCCCATCATGTTTCTAATGGTTAATGCTCAATTATAATTTAATGGTGGGGTAAAATCGATAAAATTGGACGTTGTAAAATATTTTGGCTGAGAGTATAATGCGTCTTTAAGAAGACGTCGGATGCATAATGTCTTCAGAAATACACGGTGATCACAATATTTCTTTTCTTTGTTATTTTGCTAGTCTTGATAATCTAATTACATAAAATATGGGGAAGATGTTAGATGATCTGTGCGTCTTTCCCGACACTGTAATAATAATCTCATCTCATAAAATATTTCGTCTCATTTTATACGAGCCATCTTTTTCTCCAACATCCCATTTAATTGATTTTGTCGATGATGAGGAAGTGGTGATGAAAAAGAAAAAGAAAAAGACAATATTTTAGTTTTTTAAATTAGTTATATTTATTAATGGTATTAATTTAATTGAAGAGGGATTAAATTGGTAAAATATCATAATATTAATAATTACTTTTGAAAATTAAGATAAAATTAAAAATATAATATTAAGAATAATTTTTATTATCATTTCAGTTTTATTAATCAGTGCATCGTATTCATCTACCTTTAATTTTTATTAAAAATTATCAATATATTATTTTTTAAATTATATAAATATTTTATGTTTTTTCATAATCGACGAGCTCAGTAAAAATTTCCCTACAATTAAAAATTGTTTACATATCTTATCTTATCTTTTTTATTTTCCAAAAGAATGTAAAATATATTTTAAAAGATACGTATCAAATGAAACAATATGATAATGTTAATATACCAAATTAAATATTAAATTGAGAAAAAAAGATTATCAGGTCGCCTTTGTGATGTGAAATAGTGACACATACAGTTTTTGTAATGTATTGAATTATTAAGTGGAATGTCAAAACATGACATAATGGATAATATTGGAGTTATGATTATGAATAAATATTGATTCAAATTTAATGAATTTTAATTTGATTTCATCTTATAGGATTAATTTTTTTTTAAAAATGGATATGAATCAAGTTTTTTTAAAGGATAAGGCCGAGTTCAATTTAGGATAAAAAATATTCAATCTAAAAAATAATATAAAAATCAATTAGTTGCTTATCTTAAAAATCGGGTTAGGTTTTAAGTTGGGTAGGTTTTAATCTGAAAATTTATGCGACTCAGAGGTTGTTGAGGATATAGAAGTTTCATCTTGTCTTTTATCTTCTCCAAAATTAATTCTCCGAACATTTTTACACGTTCGTGGTATTGGAGAAACCACTAATAAGAACATTCTCTATCTTTGGATATTTTGCATGTTTGTGTCACTTGGTATCTCCTCCTTTTTCTAAGTTAGCTTAAAGGTATTTAGATGACCGCTTGAGTGTGTTCAATATTGTGTCTTAATTATCTTTCAAATGAAAATTTACACCAATCCATTGTTGCAAGTAGTTTTGAGTGCATGTAGGGTGATCTCTCTTATACTCATATAATACTTTACGTATTCGATATGTCATGGTTGATTTTTGGACACATTTTAGATGTGAAGCCATGGTTGGTTGATTTTGATGACTAATTAGGAATGTTTGATGTTGTTTGTATAGTTGTTGATTTCTTCACCATACATGAATTTATATTAAGTATTAATTAGTACTGCGTACTACAATAAACTCTTTTTTTAGGAGTATATTATATTTAATTAGTCACATTGTACATTAACATCATTCAATTAGTTAATACAATGTATATGTTTTATTCATTAAGAATAATGTAGATCGTTGAATCGAAAAAGATCTCTTGAAATTAATAAATTATTAATTTATTGATTAATTAATATATTTTTAATTAATAAAATTATGTGGTCCTGAAATTATTGATTTATAGAGATTTTACTCTATATAGTAGTGAACCTAAAATTTTAATATTTAAAATGCATGGGGACTAAAGCTACTCAAATTAAAGAATATAATTAGACCTACAACTTATCCATAATACAATGACTAATAAGAAAATTTAACCTTTGATATTTCTGACCCAAATGGAAGAAAGCCCAAAGCATTTTGGATCAACCAATTTAACCTAAATGAAGCCATTTAATCTTTTCTTATAGAGTTAATTATATCATATGTCGCCACATTATAACTATCATTTTAAATTAATCTTAAAGTTTTTAATATTCTAATAGCATCATCAAAATATGACTCTCATTTTAGGTTAACGCTTAAACCGTTGAATATTCTAATTTCATCCTTAAACTATGGCACTCTTTTTAAATTCATCACAAACTTTTGAATATGCCAATTTCATCCCCAAATTCACCAAAATATAATTAGTTTCAACAATAATTTAACCTATTTTTTCCAATTATATAATAAAACTTTGCCTAACGATTTTATTAAAGATGGATGTGATTATTATATACATATAGTCTAGGATGAAACTGGAATGTTCAAAAAGTTTAAAGACTAATTTAGAATGAATGCCATAGTTTTGGGGATGAAATTGAAATGTTCAAAAGTTTGAGTAATAGTTTTGTGATGAAATTAAAATATTTAAAAGTATAGAGACCAATTTAAAATAAAAGTCATACTTTGAGAAAATATGATGCAATTAACTCTTTCTTATACGATAAAACAGAAAGGAAAAGCCAATAAAATCCCTTATCCACAAACTGGAAAAAGAAGTCAAAACCAATCCGTAACAATGGCCACTTGGCTCTCTCTTTCAAACTTCATCTCCTTCCTTTCGCCTTCCATTCCTCTACCACCACCACCACCACCGTCGCCACCACCACAAACTCTGAACAACCTTTCACTCTCATCCCATAAACCCAAAAACACTCAGCTTTCACTGTCAGCTCAAGAGGATCATCAATCTCCTTCAGCATCCACTGAACTCCCTTCTGTTATATGCCCTTCTCTTGCATATGCAAACACCCTTTTCTTCAAATCAGGATATAATGTTCAGGTCATCGTGGATGAAAACGAGCCCGAAGAAAGGTTGCTCAACAGGTTCAGAAGAGAGGTGATGAGAGCTGGTGTGATTCAAGAGTGCAAGAGAAGACAGTACCATGAGAACAAGCAAGATGAGAAGAAACGTAAATCACGCGAGGCTGCTAAACGTAACCGTAGAAGGTAAAGCTTTTGCCCCTTCGCTTCATGTTATAGTTATCGGAACGATTAACGATCTTAAATCAATCTATTAAGATAAAATTTGAGTTGTGACGGTTATAAACGGTTCATTCACGACAGAAAATTGACGGGTCACACTTAAAGAGACTGATGAGTTGAAGACGATGAATAGTACGAGACCAAGAGAGAGTGCTTAGATTTTAGAAAGAAATTCGTAAAAAAATATTACACTACTATATACGATTGAAAATTATTAGTGATGGCAGTTTTTTTTTCGCTTGCTATAAGGGATGTACCTATGCAGAGGCGGGATGTCAGTCGTATCGAACATTTAAAATTATCATATATTTTTATTAAAATTGTTTTTATTTTCTAAAATTTTATAAGTTCAAATTCGTCCCCTAACACAAAATTCTTCTTCATCCGCTCCTGCCTGTTATGAGCAGACGTCCACAAGCAAGATACTCGCAACAGAGCAAGCAGGAGGAATCTGCGAAGAAGAAGGATGAGGATGATGATGATAACTGGGACATGCCTGATGGAGACCTTCCTTGATGAACCCATTTTGCCAAATCTTTTTATCTTTGATTCTATGGGGATTTTCCCTCTTGTAATTTGCATTCGGATGGACCCTGCCACTTGAATCGCTATGTCAATATACGAGTAAATGAAATAAAATGTTCATCCCTATGGTGTAAATGAACCGGACCCATATGAGTCAAGTTGTGTTTATGTTTGTTTGTTTGATTTTGAAGTTATTTATGTTTGATTTATGTTTGTTTAAATTTTTAATATTATGTTCAAGTTCGATTCGTTTAATATTTGATGTGTTTGAATTCAATTTATTTAGCATTTGTCAACATATTTATGAAAATGTACATATATATTGACATCTCTCACTATCCTAATACTAAAAAATAAAAAATACACTTGCATCATTGTAAGTATGTACATCTAATGTAATGAGTTACAATTCAAATATAAAAATAAATAGAGATATTATTTCTATATTTTAATATTTAAATTTCAAATCGTTAATTTAGATGTATATATCTACGTTAATGTAAGTATATTAAACACATATTTACATTACATCAATATAAATATGTACATACCTCGCTATCATGATAGCTAGAAATAAACACATTTATATTGATGTATACACATCTCCCACTATTCTGATATTTAAAAATAAGTACATATTTACACCGACATAAATATATACATCTCACATTATCTTAGTACCTAAAAATAAACACTTACTTATATTGGTAATAAGTATGTACATCTAAATTAATGAATTTAATTCAAATATAATAAATTGAGGATGTATTATTTTAATATTTTAAAAAAGAAAATATTATTAATAAATAAACATAAAAAATTTGTTTACATTTGTTTATTTAACTCAATAAATAAATATAAACGAATGTTATACAAACAATTTAAAAAGTATTTATCGAATGTTGTGTTCATCCATATTCATCCCCCCTAACTTATTCTTTACGTGTTCGCTAAATAACATTGTGAATTTGTTAGTATATGTGATGTAAAAGACATTCAACATTCAAGCTCATAAAACTCAGGTAATGTCTTGTCCATCCGACAAGCTATTAGATCCGATCCATCAGCGTACCTCGTCGGCTTACACGACAGCAGAATCTATCCCGGTGATACATTTCTCCGGAGCTCTCCACGACGACGGTGTCTGTTTCGAGCTAACATTATTCGCAGACAGTTGTACGAAGTTCCTCCAGTCATCGAGCACAAGCTTCATATCATGGATCTTGCTATCAATGTTCTCACAGCAGTTTGCTTGTACCGTAAGTATCTGCTTCAAATCACATGGCAGACAAAGTCTACCGAATTTCTCCTCATTGAAATACGAAACTTCGACTCCGATGAGGCCGATGTATTCTCCTTTTTCGGAAATTTTGCAGAGGGATTGGTGTTCAGAATCATCAGGGTACAGAACCCTGTTCAAGTTGCATGTTCTGATGAATTCGAAAGTCCTTGCGTTTGCTTTGAGATGAAAGAATCCCCCGTCTCCTTTGATTCCGAATGTTTTAGCATCGATCGGATAAAGCTCGCATCCGATCGACAAATCGGAATTAGGCACAAGTTTACTTAACGGATTCCTCAGCCACATTACGTCTGCATTCTGCAACAATAGTTAAGTAAGCCTGAATTGAATCTAACATGGTCTCAAATTGTCTTAAACTGCAAAAAAAAAACTTACGGTGAAGACGACATTGTAACCGAATTCGATAACTTGGGTTAGCAAAATCAGTCTGGTTGGACTAAACATGAGGCTCCCTTGTGTTCCTGGTGGTGTCTTGGTGAGTTTCTTCGTCAAGTTTTCGAGTTTGAAACAATGGGGATGCTTAGAGTTACAGTACTGGAATGCTCGGCTATCTTCGGCAACGATAAGCAGATGGTTTAAAAGACGTTCCGTTCCTTCTCCGATTCGGAAGCTTTCAAGGAAGAGGTCAAGGATCGATGCCGGTTTCGCCCAAGTTTCATTGACGACCGTCAGAATGACTGTTCTATCGATCATCGATGCTTTCCTTAGTGCTGCTCGCAGCAGAGTTTTCCTTTCCAAATCCTAATGAAAAAACGCAAACAGACATTAAAAGAAACAGAATTTCTTACACGTTAGAAGGATATTTCTTACATGCTGTGAATTGGGAAGCGTTGGCTTGGAGACGACAAGAGATTGAGAGTTTGGATGATCGGAAAAGTGATGGAAAATGAAGCAGATGAAGATGAAGAACATCAAAGAGACAATGAGACAACATGGCAGCCTTGAAATCCTCCTTGACTTTTTCATCCTTCTCTTAATGACAATGAAACAAGTTTTTCAAAAATATTATTTGTATGCAATAATGTTTATAGACATAATGTTTATCATATTCGTCGTTTTGCTCCCTATTCTATTTTTGGAGCCCCCAACGTTTCATTTAAGGGTAAAAATACCCTTAACATTTAACAGAATAATTACTTTGTCCCTCATTTTTTTCTAGGGCTTTTTAACCCTCAAAAATTTTATTTTATGTTAAAAAATACTTCTATTTTGGAGCGTTAATCGTATGTTAACTAATAGTTTTCATCTATAAACGGAGCTTTTTGCCCCAAGATGAAACGTTGGGAATTAAAATGCTTCAAAAAAATAGAATAGGGAGCAAAATAACCATTTTGATAAACATTATGGACTAATTTTGTTATTATGCCATGTTCATATGAAGAATCATAATCATCCATTTTTGCTGACCAATTAATTAATTAATTTTCCATTTTTTCTTCTTATTTAATATTAGTAATTTTCATATATTTCCCATAAATTGTTCCAGCGGGGATTTTTCTTTCTTTTTTGTTCGAAGATAATATGATTAAGTTTATTGATAATTTTGGTAGGTTTGGTAATTGCTATAATTGACCAAAAGATAGGAATGGTAATAATTAAACTGTTAAAATCGGAAAGTCAATATATATATATAATTCTTATCTTTCAAAACATATAGTTAAGGGTAAATTATTCCAATGGTCACTTTCATTTTATAAACATTCATTTTTGTTCACCAAATTTTAAAAAAAGTAATGTTTTGGTCATTTATGTTATCATTTTATAACGTTATAGTCGCCAAATTCATTAGTTATTTCACATTTAATCTATGGATTCTACTGGTAAACAGATGAAAATAAATAAATTTGTCCAAAATCAACCCCATGAAATTGGTATTCATAACGTTCTACGCCATTTACGACGACGACTTCACTTTGTTTGACCATTCTTTTATCCGCAAGTTCACGAATTGAGCATTTAAGGCAAAAGAAAGTTCACTTCGACATAAGACTTCTGTCCCGACGGTCCTACTCTGTAGCTTCTATATGTATTTCGGAATGTTACATACTGAACAACCGGTCCATACGATACCTGGTTAATCGGAACTTGCTGACAACGGTGGATCAGTCATCGGTGCCAAAGTAACGATCTCCGAACTCACCCATCCCTGGTACTACACGGAGCTCCTCATTTAGTGCAACATCAATCTCTGAAGTGACGATTTTCAAGGATGGGAACCGTTTGCAGACACAATGGATTCCTTCAGGTGCCTTTAGGAAAAAGAAAAACAGAGGATCAGGGTCATTGCATAGGAAGAGTTGCAACATAGTATATGCACCCAACAATGCTGAAAACTTACAGAGATGAGGTTCAGGAATATGATGTGAGATTCCGGAACTCCTTTCCGTAACAGTAGTTCAATGGCATGGCTCGCAGAATTCCCTACAAGAAGAGTTGACATTATGGTTTTGCAGAAATCAATAGATTATTGAAGGTTGCAAAGTAGCTCTACATGCATTTCCACGCAATATTCTTAAACTTGATAGCCCAATTTTTGATCCCCTGAAGCTAACCAAAGAAGAAAAAGGACGTGGAAAAGTTTCGAGACAACTTTCTTTCGGACATAGCTTCTAGAAGAGGAACAAACTTACCTGTACCGAGCACCGGATCCAGGAGGAGGCATGTCGTTCAGAAATATCCTTGGGAAGCTTCTCATATATAAGCTAAAAGTTTTGAAGAAAGCGTACTAATGATTAGATTGATTTTATATGAAGTAACTAACAGCATAAAGATCCAAATAACATTTTTAACCTGTTTTCCATCATCTCCGTCACGGTGGATCAGAAACTTTCCAATTTTTATTCCTTTGCAACATGCACGTAACGCGTTTTCCATGCTTTCACCACTGTAATAAAATAATATAAAAAAACTTGTTAGTAAATACAGGAAAAAACAACTGAGCATTCATCAGAATTTTACCAGATGTAACCGTCGATCGCCCGATACCCCAGATTTTGACTAAACAAGGTCCAATGTAAAATAACAAAACCGACCAATTTGATACCTGATTGAAAGCTCACCTTCTAATAATGGAAACACCACACAGTTTTTTGCAAAAATCAACCCCGGAATAAACAGATGCTGAAAAGAAATAGCAGCAAGTTTCAAACATAAGCAGAATATTAACTGTTTTCAATGATAAATCTTAAGCTTAAGAAAAATTCATCATTTTCCTTTTGAACATCTCCAATTGCAGATGCTCAGAAAGGAGAACTGGAAGTTTTCTCACCTGTAGGTGTTATTACTTGCTTCTCGGTGAAAGGCAAATGTCCAAGACCATGCTCCACCACCTAATTCAAATGCAACAAAATCAGGAATATATTGCATTTGGAAAACACTTGCAGAAAAACAGAACACGGTTCATTCACAAGATATAAAAGAAGGTACCAGACGAATAAGCCGATCTGAATAGAAGACAAAATCGTGCTTAGAAATATCCCGGTCTCTAATCAGAGTATGCATTCCTCTAATCTGCACCATAATAATTAAGGAAAAAGAAAGATCCATGCACGCTAGATTAAAAAATGTTGGGAATAACTTTAAAGTAGTAGCGTTATTTTTGCCAATCATGAAGCTCAAACTACAATAAGTGTGATAGCTTTCTTTCAATACTGCAAACTGATAGTTTACCAGAACATTTTAGGGTACATGGCACATGAAAAAGCTACGAATGAATATATCTTACCAGATATATGTATTACTCTACATGAGCAAACAATTTGTAAAAGAAATAGGACAGAGATCAAGCATGAGATTTACCTGAAAGGTTGACTGAATTACATACACATTCAGATAAATTTTGCAGAGATCATGCTCCCCAAGCTTAGTGCGGAAATGTTGCACAATCAAATCAATTGCAACATGATTATCACCTCCTCGGGGGATGATGACATCAGCATACTTCTTTGATGGGAGAACAAAATCATCAAATGCTGGCTTGACAAACTTTGCATACTGCAAAAACAACAGAATATTGCAACATCGTCATTAAAATGTTTAAATACTTAAATGTGAGACATACTAATAAAAAAAATCTCTCCATAAGCGTTTAATGGATGCGTGAGAATGAGAACATATTCTGTCTCAAATTCAAGCCCATTTATTCTTCCAGATATTCATTTCAGTGTTTGAATACAACCGATACACAAACATACACCATGACATCAATTACCAGGCAAGTAAACTTAAACAAGCTGCATATCACGGGAAGTATTAAATTACACCCCAGAGATTTACGCTACTTCAGGAATAATTTCTAGTATTAAATTACAAAAGAAGATATGGTATACATAGGCTTACTTGTTCAAGAACAGAGTTTACATCCCTACCCCTCTCAACTGTATCTCGTCTTATTCTACGAGCAAGCCTCACATCAGCATCTATAACAAATTGTGAAATAAAACCAAGAACCATAAGAAACCATGAGAGCAAGAAAAGAAGAAACATGGTCATAGGAAAAGGCAACAGAGGCACTACTGCACAAGCAATGAAATACAAATGCAAACATATTTAACTAGGTGAGGCCATTGCATTCTTACGAAATTTGAGGGTGACAATCCTGGGGATTTAAGAACCCAAATTTCATTGAATTGATTGAGTCGACTTTTGTGAAGAAAAAAAGAAGGGAAAAGAAAACCAAGAGCTAAACTTTCCTCTTCTATTGGCTGGCAGGTCAATGGCTATATACAATTTAACACAGTTTGCAGTCAACAATTAGTCAATTAATACACAAGTTGACTTTGAGCTTAGTTTTGTCCATGAGTTTCCATTTCGGCTTGATAAATACTTAATTTTAATCTATCAGTTCTTACAGTTAACAGTTTTTCTCTTTTGAGTAGTTGGCAACGGCTATAGGTTGTTTAACCTCGTGAGGTACGCATGATAGCATGTCTTATGTTACGTAAATAAAACGAATCTAGCTTCTTCATTAAATAATACAAGTAGACATATCTATAATGGTAAGGTACTCGGTAGAAGAGGTCAAACCCGTATCAACGAAAATCTTCATATTCATAAGGTTCCTGACACGCTGGTCATGGAAAACAAGAATTCCTTCCAAAATTATGACATCCGAAGCATTAACCTGGAAATAGATTAAAAGAAGTAGCCAGCTTATTGAATTATCACCAACATATTTGGATATTCTGAAATGCAATAAAGAGCTTAATGACTAAAAGGAGAAACGCAAGTAAATGCAAGAACAAGCAAGCACTACATCTAAAATAGAAAACACCTGAAATAACTATTACAAGTTCTTTAACTGAATGCAAGTATCTTTGTTCAGCATTGTTAAGCAAAGTTCAATAATGAACAAATGAACTTACGAACTACCTGTCGGAAACTATCTGAAGATCGACAATGTTGCTTAAAATCATAAATCGGGACCTGAACAGTTTACCCACTTTTAAGCTTCTGAACACAATCCAGAAGCTGCTCAGTATCAAAAGCATCTACACAAGCAAAGAAACAATGAACAGTCAAAACAATAACGTCCAAATCCAACATAGCAGAAGACAGCAAAATCAGCAAACAACATCAAACTAATTTACCAGGATGATCAAAATTATACTCGTGGACGCGTTTTAACTCTTCAGTATTTAAACCACGATAAAAGGAATCCTACATCCAAAAAAATGAAAAATGTATACTAATAATCTAATAAATTACAGTTCAGATTATAAAATATCCACTCGAATTTGAACCTGATTGACAAGGACAACACGGTGATCGTGGAGCTGTTGGATGATCATGTCACAGACAGTCGTTTTACCAGAAGCTGTACCTCCCGAAACACCTGCTTCATCAGTCGCGAAGTTAATGCAGATCAAATTTTGGCACGTTTATTTAATTTGAAGAAAATAAAAACAAAATTAGAGACAAGCAACAGATATTCAGATTTGAGAATCGTATTTCTTTATTGATTCATA